TATATATATATATATATATATATAATGTTCAAAATTATATAATTGTTTCATTTAATTTACATATATTATAATTTTAATTCATGTATCAAATGATATATATATATATAAATATTATTAGTATCATGATATTATTTATAAATTAATATCAATAATATTATTTGTATATTATAAATAAATTAATAATTTTATAAATATAAATTAGTATATACAAATACAAATACTTCTACAAACATATAATTATATTAGATAAGATAAATATATTAGAAGAAAGTTATGTCACTCGATAATGTAACATCAAAATTTCTTATATTTTTAATGAGACTAAAATCACATTAGTGTGACATTTAAAGGATTAAAATTATTCAATTAAAAATTTAAGATCTAAAATGGTATAAGTATGATACTTGAGAGACCCAAAGTGCTCAATTAAAATTAGTGAGACAAACATTGTACAATTGTGGTACTTGAAGGACTAAAATCACATTTAAACCTAATTTTTTTAGTTCCCACATTTTACAGCAATTAAAAATGTTTAAATATATTTTTAATCTCTAAAATTTGAAAAAAAGTTGTTTCAATACCTTTGTTCAAGCGTCGTTGTTAGTAAATTTTTCAACAAAAATTCACCAATTACTCAATTTTCATAGTTAGTGATTGTATTGGTAATCCCGAGGGATTGAAGTTTCTTTCTTCGACTTATAGGACAAAAAATGATAAAATTTAATTGAGGGTCGAGATATAAATTTATTTCAAATTTATTTAACAAAGAAAAGTAATTATATTTTTAAGGACGTAAAATATTATTTGTATTATTTTGTAACAAATTTAAAATTTATTGTTATCTGGTTTTAATGTGATTTGCTTCAACTTTGATGAGCATTGATCTGATTTTAATATTAGTTGTACATTTTAGTTTTATGTCCTAATGTTATCCTTGCGTGGGATGAACTTGATTTTTGGTATTTGCTGATTGATTTGAAAAATGGTGTGTGAGCAGTGGAGTGTATCCTGCTGAGGTCCTTCCATCTATAATATGTGATCCTTCGGGTGCGGAACAAAAGTCTCTGCCTTCAGCGCTTGCGGATGAGATAAGAAGTGCAGCAGAGAGTGTGAGAGCTGGCTATTCAAGAATTATCAGGCTTTGTAGACGTATTTCCCAGGCAGTTCAGGCTACCACTAAAACTACATGATTGGTAATTTTCTAATTACTAATATGGCTTGATTGTTCATGATATTAGTCCGTTTTCTATTTTTTTTACTTCTCATGCAGCATGCAGCATGCAGCATGCAGCATGCAGAAAATCCATGTTATTATCCACTGGATAATGCTACAATTAGTTGAGGCACTTGTGTTTGGATTCAAATCGTTTAATAGTCTGAAATTTTTATTTTTTAAATTATCATTTACTATTATTATTATTTTTATATATTTTGCTAATTATCTTTATTTATAAAATGAATAATTATGGAAAAAACTGAGATCCAAATAACTATCTTATTTTTTTGAATTTTTATTTGTAAAATAAAATAAATTGTAACTCTCTAGTTTTTTGTAAAATAAAAAAAAGAAAGAAATAATTGTGCCAGAAAATAAATTTGTTATAGAAAGAAAATATAGATATAATAAAACATGTTCAAACCATAATTAGTTAGGTTTGAAAAAATAATTATACTGATAATGTGTTAATTTTGTTTTCTTCATAGTAAAACTTTTAAAAATATTTACCAAATAAAACGTGTTAAATTGAAGATAAAGTTTTCTTATTTGAGATGTTGACATTTATGAGATAAGGATTATGATAGTTATCTAATTATAGCGAAAAACTAGAAGATACATTTGTGTAATTCAATTTTGATAGACTCTTGTAAATATCTACTAATCTTGATATATAATTTCACATTCTACACTTCACATATTAATATAGACATATAAAACAGAAAAGATGGAAAAATTTTGAAAATAGATTTTATTGAATAAATACTGATCACAAATTCTCTTAATAGATGTAGTACATAATAACTTGTAACTAAAATAAAGTGATTACATAAGTAAATTAACTATGAAGTTGTAAACATAAAAAAAATAAACAAAGTGGAAATCCTAAACTAATACTTTGATGTTGCATCTTATTAGAGTTTAACCTATCATCATGGCATAAGGCTTAAGTCTCATCTCTAGCATCATTAAAATTATTCTCATCTACAAAATATACATATGAATGCAAGCAAATAAAGGAGAGTAAGAAATGTGTCACTTTAACTACTAGTGTAAGATAGAGCCGGATACAAACTTCAGTATGCTAGATCATAATGATTATAATATAAGACGCAATTTAACAAACATCAACAAGATTATAATGTTTATGATTCACATATATGCAATGGGTACAAACTTCAGTATGCTAGATGCATGTGACATCAGTAAAACATTTTAACACTGCTCAAAGGCTCACTACTCGAAAGCTACAACCTAAAGGCCAATTGTCTGAGATATTTTGTACAATTGTTTGAAACCCTAAACCCTTGCATACAAAACTCTGCACAATTCTCATCATATCATCATCACAAGTACGCATCACATAGCTTTTTCAGAAACTCAAGTCATTTACATACCATATTATCATTGTTTCATTATTGTATCACACATTATCATCATCTCACACTCATCATTCATTAACGTCTCAAACGTTGTACACAACATTTTTAAATCAAACATCAACATTTCATATCACATAAAGTTCTCATGACATGAATAAATATTTTATATCATGCACATCACATAGAAACATTTCATATCTCATATAGGCACAAAAATTGAAACACAAGGTTTTACAAACATAATTTCATACCTTTATCATAACACACTCATAACTTATTCACAAATATTCCCTCTCATACTTTATCTTTCTTAACTATTGATATAAACATATGAAATCATTTTTAAGATTAAGCATTTAAAGGATAAAACAATTTATCATCGCAACTCATTAACTATCTTTTCTTACCTTAAGCTTTTACGACATTGTGGGGTTTAAACACGATACTTGGAATTGTACTTATAATATCAAGTTGATTTAAATCTTATTGGAAATATGAGATGATTATCTACAATTTCTATGTTGATCTCAAGAATTGTTCTTATCATACACTATTTTTAAAAATTACAAAATCGTAACATTTTTCAACTTAAATATGATAACTTGACATTCGCTCACTAATTTGATCATATCTTGAGTTATAAACCTTCTTTTTGGGTGATTCTAATGACATTGGAAATCTAACCTCAATGATAAAACTATTTTGAAGATTACAAAACCTATTTCGACCATTTAAGTCTCCTCGCAAGGTTTGCAATGTATGGAGGTTACATTTCACAAACAAAACATGAGATTCATATTCTAATTCACATAACTCAATCATTTCTTAATATTTTATGTGATTCTTGAGTCTAAACTGTAGTATCAAATGTCTACTTTCCAACCCAACAAATAGAACTCAATTTGGTTAATCACATATAAAGAAATCATGTAATTGTCGATGTATGTTCTTACAAGAATTTTTAGATAACAAAGTATATAACTCACACCCAACTCAATTCTTCCTATCCAATTGATTAAAAATAAATTAATGCCTAAACTACACATATATATCATCAATTAATCAAATGCATTAATCAATTTCACAAAAATCTCTCGATTTCATCAATCTTCATTTTACTTTTAAATTAAGGGTTTTCAACAAGAACTACAAGCACTCAGATTCACACATACTTCAATTCACACAAAATTGATTATTGATATATCTAAATCATTACAAATAAAACACATACGAAGAACATGGATTACATAACAAAATTGAGATTTCTTCCTCACCTCATACAAGAACAGAAAAGAAATTGAGGTCAATCTCACTATCAACATATAATCTACACCCTAGAGTGAGATCATTCATTCTCTTCTTACCTCAATAGATGTTTGGTGATGAACGCGGATCTTTGTGATGTATTCCTTGCATTCTCCTCTTAGAGCTCTTGCATATTACATACATATGTTTATTTTGTCATTATTCATATTATTCTATCTTTAATCATGTTTTTTATATTATGCATTTGATAGAATATTTGTATTATTTATATAATAGTGAAATTTATTTAAATACAATTGGTCTTGAAAACAAAATCAAGAAAATAAGTTATAAGAATATTTTTGCAATAATCTAGAAGATATTGTCAAATAGAGAATTTTGAACAATTTTCTCTCACTAGAAGTAGGAAAATTGTACAAAAATGAAAATGATAGAATAATTTTCTCATAAAAAAATAATACAAAAAGTGAAAAGAAAATAATTTTCACTTGAAGTTCAAAATGTGAAAAAGAAAATGATAGATAAAGTAACAAATATGATATAAATATTATGTTTGATTCTTTACTATAAATAAAAACATCACTGGAAGTGGAATAATTTTGTCAAGATCATAATTACAATGTTAGATGATTTTTGGGACAATTATAAGAATTATGGATAGTGAAACAATTTCTTAACTTTTTAGGTTTTTGTGTGATTTTTTGGAGTAACTATCAATCTCCTACATTTGTAATTTGACATTATTCCTAATTGAATTGTTTAAAATAATTGACATGTATGATTGAATCTCCGTATTATACTATTAAAGCTTAAAAGACTTAACTTTAAATCCTATTAATAGAATTGGTGTTATGTATTTTCTTATGTTTATTAATATATCATACTAAATTGACGGAGAGATCAATACATGTCACTCATAATCATTCAATTATAAATTTAATTATGATTTGTACATAAGTAATAGAATTTAATAAAAATGCGATATTTATTTTCTTAAATTTTTTGATACAATATTTATAATGAGAATAATTCTCCCAATCTTAAATATTATTTATTTTTCTTTTAAAATCAACCTAACAATGATAAATATATTTTTATTAAATAATCCTTTAAATTAGTTTATCATAATTATTATAATGAAATTTTTTCTTTAAATGTTAATTTGTCAGCAAAGAACATGCTTTGACTTGTGAATTGTACAATCCAAACACCTCCTAAAGACGATTCTCTCTGATTGTGGAGGTGTTCAGCCTCTGATTGATGTCTTCAGACCATATTTACTTGATGCAAAAGTCTGAGCTTTTCTTATATTTCTTATTATTAATTTCGTAGCTAGTTAATATATAATTATTATAAAAAATGTCATGTAAAAAATTATTTTTATTTGCATATAACTTATAAAATTATATATTAAATAGATATATACTTTTATATATATTGTACTTATAATAATATTTTTTATATATTACTGTATAATATTTCTTGTAATGATGCCGAAATAAAGGACAAAATGGAAGAGATAAGAAGGTATAGAAATAGAATAATGTTGAAGGGTCGAGGTTCAATGAATATCACTAGTAAGTGCTAAGTAGTGATCATCGAATCATGTCATGTGAAAAAAAAAGAAAAAAGAAAAAATATTAATGATATAAAACCACGTGATATTAATTCCCTCTGCTTGCTGCATATAGGTGTCATTGTTGTATTTTAGATATGACCCGTGCCAAAGTATCCTCATATGCCTACAACCTCGTGTCCTTGATCAGTGACAACAGAGTTTGATCATGATGTTACAGGAAACTTCACGACAAAACCTTATCACCTAGACACCATGCTATCTGTCATCTCTGTGTTGCATATTTCTATGTCGTCACATATCTACAATTCTCATGTTTCACAAACTATTTCTCCACAACTATTGGAATCTTATCTTTGAAAGATATGTGTTTATAAAGTTTATATTATTTTAGTCTTCTGAAACTTAATGAAATAGTATTTTAATATTTTAATACGTGAAATTCACATGTTAAATATTTATTATATATAACTAAATTTTATATTAAATTCTATATGAAAATATATGTTAAAAGAAATAAATTATATATTTAAAATTTATATAAATAAATATTTTAAGCATATAAATTATATATATATATATTTATAATAATATATAAATTATATTTTAAATTTATAATAAATAATTTACATTGTAGTATAATATTATTTTTATTTATTTATAACTTAATTTAAAAGTTTTAAAATTAAATTAGATAAAAATTTTAAAAATTTATAAAACGTAAAACTCCTAAAATTACTCTCACATAAGAAT